TGGGGTGCATCTCTGCCAGGGTAAGGCTTGTGGGGTGCATCTCTGCCAGGGTAAGGCTTGTGGGGTGCATCTCTGCCAGGGTAAGGCTTGTGGGGTGCATCTCTGCCAGGGTAAGGCTTGTGTGGTGCCCACAGTTGGCCATAGTGAGTACTGACAGTAGACAGCCATACCGACTGCAGTTCAGATTAGCTAATCCACCTGAAGATAAGCAGGTTTGGGCCAGACCAGTACTTGGATGGGAGACCAACTAGGAAAGCTGGGTTGCTGCTGGAAGAGGTGCTGGTGTGGCCAGCAGGTTAGCCAGTCCTGTGGTCCGTGTGGATCCCAGTGCAGTGACAGGGACGCGGTGCTGTACAAATTGTGCCATCTGTTGGATGAGATGTAGAACCAAGATCATCACTCTCTGAGGTCATAAAAGATCCCTGGGTACCCTTTGAAAGACTAGGGCTGGTACCCTGATGTCCTGCCTAAAATCGCCCACTGTGGCCCTGTGAAATCTGGCCTCATAATCATCCCTTATTCTCTCTTGAATTTGATCTCATCCCTTCACCACCTTAGCTACTGTCTGATGAGTGTACTGGACCAGAATGGCCACTGTCGCATCATCCGGGGGGGGGCTCCACAGTGTTGGCTCCTCATTGGTTCTGTAAAGCTCTTTGGGTGTCTTGAAAAGCACTATACAAATATAACACTCATTCATTCGTTCATTCAGTGGGCGGAGGAGGAATAAACACAGGGTGTTGATTGTCATTGATGTGAGATGTGATCGATGGCTATCCTGTCTTCTACATACCAACAGAAAGGCCACTATGTCACAAATTACAGATCATTTTAATGAGTTCTGCTGTATATGGAGCTGCCTAGCTGTGGATCAGACTTGTTGGTCCAATTCATCCCAGAGATGCTTGACAAGTGTCCGGCTGTCCAAATGATGCAACAGAAAACAGAATTCTTCAAACCAAGCAACTTTCCACTGTGCCAAGGTCTACTTCCAGTGCTTTCATCCTATTGTAAGTGCTTTCTACGGTGGTCAGGAATTATCAGGGACACTCTGCCTGACCTATAGCTATTCATAGCAAGGCTCGATGTGCATGTCGTGCGTGATGCATTAGTCCCATGACAATCATCAAAATTATTTGCCCTGTGTCCTTCTGCCGATTCCTTCCACAGGGGATAGCTTACATTCACATCCTATATCGAGGAGTCTTGGCTGCCCTGTCTACTGCTAGTGGATCATGGTTTTTCCCTCTTTGGATCACACTCAGTTGCCCCCCCCCCCCCCCCCCCCCCCCCCCCCCCCCCCCCCCCCCCCCCCCCCCCCCCCCCCCCCCCCCAAGCCATTCTGTTTCAGAGATGCTCTGACCCAGTTGTCCGGCCATAACAATTTGGCCTTATCAAAGTCATTCAGATCTTTACCCCTGTCCATTTCTTCTGCATTAAACTATGGTTGTCACTATGAGTTATATCAGTAATCAAGTGATCTACCTATTTATTGTGACGATTCATTGAGTAATCATTTATAACATAATGCAATGTAATATAATTAATATAATATACATTGTAAATGGTTTACACTCAGTCACACATATGGGAAATTTAGAAACTCCAGTTCACTATTAAGTTGCATGTAACTGGACAGCGGAAGGACTGTCTTCCTTCTGCCATATTGCAGAGTAATTGATTAAGAAAATTTTAATCAAAGCTTTTAAGTAATAGAGTAATCGAGTTAGAGTAATCTTGACAACAGCCCTACATTCAACACATCAACTACAAATATATTATAATATACCCCAGATCTCTCCAAGCACAATTTCTATGATAGAGACACAACATTATTCACTTCATGCAAGGGTGGTCATAAGGTTCTGATTCATCTGTGTGTAGATTTGCCCATTTGAACCACACATTTCTACAAATGTCATTTTGTGTTTCTGAGGTGAATTTTCTCTGTACAGGGGGAACATCTGTGTGGACCATGATGATGTCCCCACTGGCCAAAGGCCTGTTCCACAGGGCTATAGACATGAGTGGCTCATACACTTACAATGGCTCTTTGGAGAAGGCAGAGAAGGACAACTTGGTATTCCTGAATAAGTCAGATTGCAGTAACTTACAGTGTCTCTACAGTCTCTCCACAACCAAAGTTCTCCAGGTGAATATCCTTTTTACTCTGAAAATTTATACTTAACATTACAGATCAGACCAGAACATAGCTATTAACCTTCCGGAGCCAGAGGCCCCTCAGCTGCCTTTGAGTTAGTAACATGCCTTGAAAATATCCCCAAAGTTCTCCATTTGCTTTTATTTAGCACAAACTCAGCACCAATAATCTGGGACCATTCAGAATGTCATTCTTCTATTTTTTTTGTTTACATAAACATACACTTTTCAAAAACCTATTTTCAGAGGTGCTGAGAAATCGTAAAAAAATAACATTAAAAACATCTCTAGCTGAGCTCTGGAGCATATAGACATAGGGCTTGGCTGATTGAAGTATTCAGAAATTTTATGTGAATACTTGCCAATGGCTTGTAAATAAACAGAATGCTAGTCATATTTTGCATGGCACGCAATATTTTGCTGTTTGACTACTGATACAGTTTTTATAATCTGCTGCATAGACAGTTTATTTCCATGCAAGCTGCTTTGACAGAAGTTTTTTACTACATGAGCTTAATACGATGATGACGCATAAAATAAATCAGCGATGCATGCAAAAATACACGAGTGAAAGAGAGAGTGACGCATAAAATAATGAATACAGTGGTACCTCGGTTCTCAAACTCACTAGAACTCGAATTTCTTGAAAGTCGAACAAACCAGTTTGACCTAGAACTCGATCTGAATATCAGAAGTCCAACCGTGAACGCTAAATTGTACGCACCAGGAAATGAGTCATACTACAATGCAATTCTTACTTGAATGCCTTCTTCACAGACTGGACGATTAACCAAATAAAGCCGTGCAACATTACAGTAGCTAAGAATAAATAAACCACTAACTTACATGTACTATTAGAGCATTTATATAATTTATTTGAACTTTATTTTACCAGGTAGATTAACTGAAAACCAGTTCTCATTGCTTTACGTGATATTCGGGAGATTAGCAGATTACGCATCGGAACTGCCTGGGATACAAACGTCATGCGTGTAACTAAACTCTTCAGCCAATAAGAACAAAGGTGTGTCATCACGGAGGCGGTTCCAGTTTGTGCAGCTGGGTGAGAGGCCACAATGCATCTAACCATAATGCATTGCGTCAGGATCAGAATGCGTTGCTTTACGCCAGCGCTGTAAGCAAGTCAAACGCACCCAATGACCGGACTGGGGAAACGAACTGAAACGCGGACTTAATACAGAGGACTAATGACAACAACCAAAAACAGCTGATCACATGGGGATCCCACAGGAGGTTAACGAGGGGACGTGGCACACGGAAGGAGCGGACGATCGGGACAGGACGGATAATGTTGGGATAATGTTGGGATTCTTGTTTTATCCTGTTCATTTTGTGTTTAAATGCTTAAAAAACATATTTAGGTGTAATTTTGGGGGGGCCGAGAACCAATTAATTGGTTTTCCATTATTTCTTATGGGAAAAATTAGATCAGAACTCGAACTTTTTAGGATCCGATACGGAGTCCGGAACGGATTAAGTTCGAGAACCGAGGTACCACTGTATTTGTGCACCGATGTTTTAACTATAGAAAGCAATAAATACGATGCTGTGCATGTATAGAGTCGCCGGAAGTAAATTAATTTACTATTATTAAAATCATTCACAAAGCGAATTGAATTTACTCATCAGAATCATCTTCGGTGGGATTGAGTTGCAATATTCTTCCTTACCGTTCATTACTCTCCAGGGCGTTTGGTGCAAGGCTGGTCAGTGTGAACACAACCCAGACATGTGCTCTTTCGTACTGGAGTCACACTGCGCATGAATATCGCCATTTGCAAATGTGCAAAAGCGCTGCTTCCCAACTCGGAGAGCAAGTCCAGAGATTCTTGTTCTTTTTATTCCTATCACAGAGCTTTAAAAATATATTTTGTTTCTACCTACATGCAGTTTCTGGGTGTGTTTTTATATGCCTACAACAAAAATGCACGTTTTTTTAAGCGGTTTGGCAAGATTTCTGTTTGATCCTGCGGGCGAGATTGCCGACTCCAGTTAATGTATCAACATTTGCTGCCAGTTTTACTGCACTGTTGTCAATCAATTACCTGATTTTATACCAGTTTATGTGAATTGTGGGGGGGGGGTTCCAAACTGTAACAAGTTATAAACGAGCAGTAGTTGCATGTAGGTAAAAATACATTTTATGTGTGTTTTCTAGACATACTGACTAACTAAAGAGGTTTGTAGCTAACATGCTTGCATTCAGATATTAGTGTCTACAAGCTCATCTTCCCAACTTCAATAAATTTACTAAGAACCAACAGTGTAAACCTCAGTCAGCTTACATCATAGTTCCCAGAAAGAATCCTCAAAATTATGTTCTTAAATCAGGTTGATCTGAATTCCTCTTGTGTTAGGCTATTCCATGGAAAGAGTACCCTTCTTGGGCCGCTGAAGACTGTACAAACATACCAACAAAGGACCTCTTTATTGGACCGGTGGCTGTTGTAGATGGGCATGTTTTACTTGCCCCACCCTTTGAGACCTGGGAGAAAGGCAGCGGCTACAACGATGTTCCCTATGTGATCGGAACCACCGAACAGGAAGCTGATTTCAGGTGCCTGGCCATTTTATTTACTCCTAGTATCTTTTTGTCCTGATTGACCAGTATCATCTATCCACAATTACTCGTACATCACGGTAGGTTTCCTGGGAGCCATTTAGCGAGAGCATCTCAGTGCTTTATTGACTGAAAATGAAACTTTTTTTTGTGAAATGGCTTCTACTGGGCACAGTGACCGTGATCCAAAGCCAGGAACTTTAATTCTGTTTACTCTCCTCCAGTCCACCATATGAGAACATCTCAAAGTGGACTTGGGAGGACTACTATTGGTTTGTGACAGGTAAGTATAGCATTTAACTGCTTGTTCTAGTATTTCCACAAAATAATAATAATCCATGTGAATCCATTTATTGTATGTGCAATGAAGAACCAAAGGAAACCTGCTATAATATTTGATATTTTAGCCAAAAATTGACTGTAATTTAACCACCTTCCTGTCATCTGTTCTAGAAAAGCTGACGCCTTTTGGAGTGAATATCTCCAAAGAGGCCACTACCTTGTACCCAAGCTCTGCCAAATGCCCCATCAATGACCGCTGTCCCGAAAGACTCTACACCACCCTGGTGTCAGACTTGAGAATCACCTGTCCCGCCCACGACAAAGCCAGAAGAGCTGCATGTAATGACCAACACTTTCAAATCCAAAAAAAAAATCAGCAAGAAACTCTCCTCTGCTTCCGTTGGCTAAGGGTGTACTCAGTCTTGGCCTGTTTGCCATGTACCATGCCTGAGCACGATTGCCCCCCATCCTCACCCCAGTCCATCACTGGTCTGCGCTCACATAACACTTAACATTCCAGGGTTGCTGCCTGGGTTTTACCAGTGTCACGCCCTATGACAAAAAAAATTGTATGATTTATTTATTAATATCAGATTTCAATTAGCAGTCCAATTAGTAGTCTTTTTCATGTTCTGTTTAAGGGGAATCATAAGGGAATTTTAAGCATAAATGGAGCCTCAGACTAAAGAAATAATGAATTATTTGAAGTAATGATTCATGAATTATATCGCGGTAATTATCAATATGGACCGATGTGGGAAAAATTACTGTGAAAAGATTTTGCCATATCACCCAGCCCTATGTATAAGTCCCATATTACCAAATATCCCAATATTTTTGTGTTCCATCCAGTTGTTCCTGGATACTCTCATCAGCCCAAATTTTCAGCTAACACAGCCAAGCCAACTCGCCATCTCTGGGTGCAGCCATTTTTGAACTTTCTGCTACTCCCACATTACAGGCTAATCCTGGAGCAACATAGATTGGCAGAAATTCTAACCAATCATGGAACAGACAGCAGGTGACAAACAGGAAACAAAGAAAACCGAAACGCAAAACACATAGGCCTGTGTGTGTATATGTAACACCACCATGTTTGTTAAATGTTTATCACTACACAATCTGTGCAGCCTACCCGATCTGTTCATTCCTATTCCAGTTCCGGTAGTGTACATCTGTGCATGTGTGTGCCAGTTGCATCATTAACATCATGTCTGTGTTCTGTGCTCGGGCATCGTTAGTGATCACACAAAATGATTACCATGCACAGAGCAATCAGACTAGTGAAATGAACTAGACTTTGGGGGTCAAACGTGCTTGGGCATGGTATGAATCGCCCAGTGTGAGTACACCCTAAAACTGTGTCCATCAGAGATTGTATGGTTATTAAAGAGTGATTAGTTATTCACAGAATCCATATGCACAAATTTTGTGGATTAAACTGATCCATTGTCATAGCTTTTAGATCACTAACGAGGCCCATGTTTAATCAACATCATCTCTCTTTCAGTGGCTTTGAAGAGCCCTGTGTACCGTTACATTGTCACCCACACGCCGTCCAGAGTGGAGAAGGTCTCCAGCCAGCTACCCTATCCCAGTCGCTTCTCATTCCACATGTTAGATGCACTGGCGTTCTTTGATGGCCTTAAATCGGTACTGGCGGGGGTGAGCTCAGAAGATCGAAGTTTTCAGGGGATCATGACCAAGTATATGGTGCACTTTGCAAGAACAGGTGAGGCCTCCAAGAATCCTCTATTAACCATTTCAGAAGAATATACAGTAACATTATGTGATCTTAGAGTAGATTCTTTTCAGAAATCAAACAACAGGCTTAGAGAGTGAAGGAAGCCCTCAGACTTTGAGTAAGAACAGGTTCTCTAAGTAATTAATCAGACTCTCAGCAAATACAAGCATTTAGCACAAATGTGTCACCGTCTCGGGTCAAAGCTGCAGAATCATAATGACGGCAGGTGCTTCACCGACACGCATTGACCTCCTTGATGCATCTTGTCCCCCAGGCGAGATGCCCAGCGAGTGGCCCCCATTCCCCTCGCACATGGCACTGCTCTCGCACAACTTCTCCGCCTTCCAGAATTTCTCAGCCTCACGGTGTCAGTTCTGGGAGAAGAATCACTTTTATCCATATGCATGGGCCAATTAAGAAGAATGGGACCTACTTGTATTCTGCTTTATAAATGATTTTTCAAAGATGGTTTTAATGTGTGTTTTACGGTGTTTACCAACCACTAAGGGATAGCTGAACACACTATAAACTACTGCACTGTGACGAAAGGGGACCTGTTCTTGTTCCCATGCATTCTGAATGTGGCGCCAGTCCTCCTGCTTCTGTCACCCTGTGTCACAAAGACATATAGGTGTCTTACCACCTCATCAAAACAGGTCCCTGAAACAAAAGAAAATACCCAAAAGTGATTGCACAGCCACAATAGCAATTGCATGGGCTCTTTAAGTGCCCAGTCCAAACCCAGACAGACACAAAGGGATTCAATCAGTACCCACTATTGGCTATCCACTGAGCCTCCCATACGCAATGTGTTCCAGACTCCAGCACCAAAAAAAAGTCTTATCCAGCAAAACCTACTGTTGCCTCACATGAAAATAAAATATACAAATTAAGGAGAAAAAAAAAGAACCCCCACATTCACCATAAATACTACATAAAGATCAAAACACAAATCCATCCATACCTTTTACTAACATTAAATGCATGATACATTTTGCCTGGGTGAAGTACTGTGTATATACCCAAGGCGGGAATACGCCTATAAATCTGAATTCTGACAAAAGACTTCCCAAAACACCCTGAGTACAACACAAGACACTACACCCACACATTGATGCACCACACAGAAGAACAAACAGGAAGGTAATCGACAAGTAACAAATAAAACGAAAATCGTACTTCCATAGTTTATATGTTGTGTGCTTGTCGTGTAACTGCACAGTGGTAATCATGTCAGCGGAAGGTGTATGTGTATCAGGGTTAATGTTAGAATGATTGGGTGGCTATAGCTGCAGTGGATATAAAAAATGTACACGCCCCCATTAAAATGCCAGGCTTTTGAGACCAAGATAAATCATTTAAAAAATGTTCTCACCTTTTGTGACCTATAAAATGTACATTTCAATTGAAAAACAAAAAAATATGTTGGGGGGAAAAATATTAATTAATAAAAAAAAGTAATAGAACACCATTGTTCTGAATGTTATAATTGATTTGGGGATTTACGGTAGTCAGGTCAACTTCCTTTAGTTGGCGTGCTATCACCAAAACAACCGTTATGTCCTGCCCTGATGACATAATTTCATATAACATCATATAACATTTTTAACCAATTCATTGTTGCTAGATACAATATATGGACAAAAGTACTGGAACACCAGGCCGTTACACCTACGGGAACTTTTATGACGTCCCATTCTAAATTCATAGATATCAATATGGAGCTGGTCCCCCCTTTGCAGCTATAAGAGCTGCTACTCTCCTACGAAGACTTTCAAAAGTCTTCGTAGGAGAGTAGACGAAGGATTTTTTGCCCATTCATCCAGAACAGCATTTCTGAGGTCAGGCACTGATGTTGGATGTGAAATCCTGGATTGCAATCTCCATTCTAGTACACCCCGAAGGTGTTTGATGGGGTTGCAGTCACGGCTCTGTGCAGGCCAGTCGAATTCTTCCACACCAGACTTGCCCAACCATGTCTTCCTGGACCTTGCTTTGTGCTCTGGGGCGCAGTCATGCTGGAACAGAAAAGGGCCTTCCCCAGACTGTTCCCGCAAAGTTGGATGCATAGAATTGTCCAAAATGTCTTGGTATGCTGAAGCATTAAGAATTCCCTTCACTGGAACTAAGGGGTCTAGCCCAACCTCTGAAACACAGCCCCATTCCATTATCCCTCCTCCACCAAATTTTGTTAAATGGGCAATACGGGCCCTAAAAGAGAGGGCCTGTGTTTGGAAAACATGCCGTCATTGGATGCCGAGCTGCCAACTGAGGCTTTAAGTTTGGCAGAAGACCAGGATTGGTGGGCACCATGTAACTGGTGTGTGGTGATTCTTCTAAAGTAATTTTGATGAATGCAACTTTTTGAACATATAATAATTAATGGTATTTTGTATGGTTTTTATAAATAGAGTATGCGGTGGTTGTCTGAAGCTGGCCACTGTTCTTTGACAGTTGTGTTTTAGCTTGTATTATAACTTGTATATAATAGCTTGTATTTTGTGTGGGGCACAATATTTATGTAGGTATTGGTATAATTTGTAGCGAGTGTTTTGTATTATTAAATAGGCTGGATGAAAAGCTTGAAGGCACCTGTGATATTAATTGAGGTTAAACACTTAGTTTGAAATGTGACTTATAATGCAAGGATAAATACTGTCTTTAGGGGTACCAACAAATCTGTTCGTACTATTTTAGCATATCTTTGTAAAATAAACAACAAATCATTTCTTTTCACAGTTTTATTGGTTTACTTTATCCCATACTAAAGGCATGCAGGTATACATTACACAACTGCTTAATTGAATCACTTTTCATGAGATATGAAGCATTGTTTCACTGAGCTGAAAGGGTACCAACTTTGTCCACATCTGTAACAACTACATAGATTCACATTTTTAAAATAAAATCTAATGAAACCACACCTAAAACTAAACTAGTCTTCAAATGAAAATAAAAAATATAAAAACTAAATTAAATTTAATTTACGCGAAAACATACATGGGTATATGGGGCTGCAGTACAAACATATTTTATTTAGTTCGTAGCCATCTGGGAATCGTTATAATCCTCTAGCGAGGAATCATATAAATGCCAGTATTTCTGGACTTTCTCAATCAACCATTCTTCAAAGCCACTATCCATTTTTGTTAACATTTGGATCATAGAGGGTAGAAAGGGTCTTTATATGAAATCTTCTTCTGACTGTTTTCAAACCTCCTGCTACCCTTCCCCTGGCCAATAAATGTGTCTCTGAAACACATGCAGCGTTCAAGTGAAATTCTTAGACTACCCAAGGACTTGTGCAGGCACCAGAATCACATTGTCCACATGCTCAGAGCATGCTGTAGAACAGTGCATGTTCTTTGGTGTGAGGTGTTATATTCAGCCACAGATTTGGGATTCAACCCTGGAGTTAGCAGGCATTCATGAAGAGGATATCCACTGTCTCCCAGTAACGAGCCACCAGCAACTACACCATCCCTTGTCATCTGACACATTCAAGAACTGGACCAGGTATAAGAGTCATATGTACTTCAAAGCCAATTGACTAAAATGCCTGTAAAATGTCCTTGAAGGTTACATATCACCTGCACATTTAACACTGAGAACCATTTTCAACAGATGTAGATAGGATTCAAGAGGCTTGGAGTCTGAATCAGAATAAGCGTTCCATCCACAACACCTACACCAATAGATATGCATGCAATGTCATGAAAACCAATTTTAGTGTCATGCAAGGTATCCCCTTCTGCTGGAAATTGTACGTGGTTAATTATACACATGGTGCAGTAATCTAGTCATGGCCTGCAGAGAGTTGGACGCAGCGGCCTTGCTGAGATCACGTGACAGTCTGCAGGAATCCAGCAGTGGCGTGGAAACAGCCGCCAGATGCCGCACGGTGGGACTGAGGACAAAATTCCAGGGCGTTCTTCTTTCCAAATCATCCCGCAAAAGGCGAAGGAGGCTCCCCATTTCACCCTGCACAGCCTGTATTTCCTTATCGATCGTTGATCGGCGATAATTCAGCAGCGGCGTAGTATGAAGAGTTTCGTGGTTCTGTGTAATGAACGTCCCCCCGCATAGTTTTCGAAAGAAAAAAAGTTTTTTTTTTGTTCAGATTTCTTGATTATCGGGGAAAACTGTTTATGATGTCAGCGAAAATATTACATTAGTGGTATAGACAGGGGCGGATTAAGGTGCACAGAGGCCCCTAGGCTACAGTAGTCTGTGGGCCCCGCCCCCCTCCGCGCCAATGGGGGCCCCCTTGCAGGCTGGCACATGTGGGGCCCCTAGGCTTAAGCCATATCTAGCCTGTGCGTTAATCCGCCCCTGGATATAGATTTATGTTCAGGTTTAAGGAAAAATGTGGCTGACGTTTACTTGTAAAATAAACCAAACTGGAGAAATACCTCGATATTTGAACCCTGAGATACTTTTAAATTCAGATTAACTATGCAGCCTTGTAAACTTAGTATGGAAAGAGCTCAATAAGTGTTTTGATTGTGTACAGAAATTAAGTGTTTAGGGGTACGTTTTATTTTAAAAACAGTATGCAATCCATGTGGATGACGTTTCTGTGTATTGCAGATTTCCTTGCAGACGTCCTTCAGTGTGACCGCGTAGTTGTTTATGCTGGACTCTGGGAAATTATGGATGTTTGGGGTTTGCGAGGAGGAAGGGCCGGATTAAGCGGCAACAGTACAAAGAACGACGTCAGAAAGAAAAGGAGCTGATTGGTGACTCAGTAAAATCAGAAATACATCTAACATAGGAAAAACGTTATATATATGCTTTTCGGTGAGTGGCATATCGAAAGAACAATATTGAGTCATATTAAATATAGTAGAACTTAAATCGCAATAACGTGTTAAAGGACATTTGAGGACCGAGGGGGTGGGTTCATGGTGGGTTGCTTTGCTTGGACTCCCCCCAGGACGTGCTGCCCCTCGGCACGCTCCCAAACCCCCACACGGTTACTGGGGACCAGCCAGGAGGCGCTTTCTGAGTCCGCGGACGTCCTGTTATTTCAGGAGACAGTGAGGGTGGCAATTCGCTGCTGTTTGTTCTGGTTTTATTACGATAATGCATGTGGTGTGTAGCGATGACTGAAATCTTTTTACGATTATTCGTTTACTTCTGCGACACCCATAGTGTTTCACGGAGGCCTGTTAGTCTGAACGGGTAAAAAATGACTTTGCTATAGTCTGAACCAGATCCTTGAATTGCGATCTGCATGTTAACTTATGATGCAGATTTAATCGCTTGACTTGTGGAAAATACTTACATATTCTGAAAATTTGTAGAAAATGTATTACATGGTTGTAATTAAAATGATATATTTGTCTCTACGCCAAATATATATTGGTTTTATATGCAATATATTAACTTAATTTGCATGTGTATTGTGTTCGTTACGTAATTTTTTAATAGAATGTATTTACCGTGTTTTCAAGTACGCTCCACCAGGACATGAATGTGTATAACAAAATACACAAGTTTTGTTAATTGTTTTATAATGTTAGTCATTTGATTTAGTATTTGGCTTCTTCACAGCTGCATGTCTACCTCGCTTGGACGCAGCTTTGAACAAAGCCGTCCGCCAAACAAATAAATATACACATATTTAACCATTCTTACTGTCGCATCCGATGCGCGAGCGAACGAGCGGGAAGCGGGGAAGCAGACGAAGGGAGCCGTGAATACGAGTAAACGGGGTTTTATTTGGACAAACGGAGAACGGCACAGGACGAACGTTAATGACAGATCTGGGGAAACATATTTGAACGCAGACTGAAATACACAAGACAAGCCGAAAATAACAGGAAACAGGTGATCATAATCGGGGCAGCACACGTGGTTAATGAGGGGGCGTGGCACACACGAGGATCGAACGAGCAGGTCATGACACTCCTGATATGTATACCTAATAACAAAGTAATCACTTGAGTATCAAATATACATAAGATAAGATACACATAGTGATCCCACACCAGGGAAGTTTACTTGTTACAACAGCCTAAAGATAATTACAATAGAGAACAAGTCAAAGGATACTATAACAATATGATAAACAATAAAAAATTGTGCACAATTGCACTCATGCTCAATTGCAGATATTGTTTACACCATTCCGTTATTCATTTATATGCTGGAAAAATCTGTCCCAATAATTATGGTATGAGTTAGGTTCAATTTTAGAAGTTCGTCATAGATATTCCCTGAAAAAATGTAATGTTAAGATCATCTGAGAAATTTCGAAATATATTATTACGAGAGGTGTAAAGTAGGCATAAGGAAATGCAAATAGAGTCTCGTTACATATTTTCTTAGTTGACATTTCTGGTCTAGCCCTTCCGCATGTGCGCTTTTAATCTTATTAAATACTGATGCATTCTGGCATTTCACTTCTCCATTTGCTTGTGCCTATTTAGTTTACCTTTAAGTGCTTTATCCCTTCAGT